TTACTCCCGGGTGGTTTGAATTGGGTGAACGTTTATAGGATCGCTTTAGCCGATTAGGTCTATTGGTAAAAGTTCACCAAAATGAACAAATCCAGGAAGTGAACGATCAAAACGATCTGTTTCTGCTTACCGTCATCGTACTCTAAGGCTCTTTTCCTATTGTAGTGCAAAGCTCGTTCAAGCTCTGGTGTCCAACTGTCAGCGTCACGTTCAGAGAATTTCCCCTTAAATCGATCAAGAATTACCATGTCAGACAACTTGAGCTCAGTGTGAGAATGAAAATGACAAAGGGAAAAGGACATGAGAACGAGGTTGATGTCAGTACACTTACCTTCCAACGCATGTGACTCCACGGATTTTTCAGCATAAGAAAACGGCGCCCCTTAAATGGAGAAAAGAAAACATTGTGATTAGCTTGGCTTGATGTAAGATTGCGCATAAAGTCATGTAAATTCAACACAGTAAAACAACTTACTGACGTTGCGGACTTTAATCCTTCGTTTATACTTCCTCTTTACTCCCGACGAAGGATTAACTCCGAAACGTCAGTAAGTTATTTCAACTATTTTATACGGTGTTAAATTTATCTTTTTACACAAGTGTTTCTTTAGACACACCTATGCAGCTCACACTAGTTTACCGCTAGTTTCCACCATACAGTCATGTGAAGTATCGCCTAGAATTACATGTACCTTTTTCTCGAAAATTTCGCGAACAGAACGCGAACACCAAACGCGTTCTGTTCGCAGATTCTTTGCGCCTTGTTCTCGAATTGTTCGCTTTAATTAACGTTTAAAAGTTTTACTGTATGTTGCAGATTTGACTTCATATGAAAACTAGCTTCCTTCGCAAGAAATTCAATCAACTGTGTTGGAATTCGGAATTCCTGTCATAAAGACATTATGATTAAGCTGAACCATTGCTTACYTGAGCTTTTCGTATGTCAAGGACGGCATAAGCGTGAGTAGGCACCAGGCCTGCTCGGTATCCTTCGTCTTCTGTCATGTTGCCTGTGGCAACTGTCAGCAAGCAGTCACCTGGAGAAGAATTATAATAGGAAGTGAGCACTGTGTAACTAACGTTTATTTGTCATCAATGTTCTAACCTTGTCGAAGTCCYCTCATCAGTCTGTCAAACTGCAATCCTTCTTTGAAATCGGGGTTGTTTCTCTTGATAGACATTCGCTCTGGGATCCAGCCAGTCAGTGCATAAAGATCAATACTCTATAAAAAAAACAATACTTAATCTCCAAAGGATGGTTGAAAAGTCTTGTTCTGGGCCGGGTTGTTCAAAGCCCGATTAGTGCTAATCCTGGGTTAACTTTTACAAAACCTATGGACTTAACCCTGGATTAACGCTAATCGGGTTTTGAACAATCCGGCCCTGAGCAGTAAATGGTCTAGCTGACTACACGTATATCGGTAAATAAGAGTAATCGAGAGTAAGACAGAAAAAGCCTTGATTATACATAGGCTCCTTTTGATTGATTTGGAGTTTCAGCTAGGTGAAAAAACTCGTTCCAGGGTGTTTTTCCAATATTTTGTGAAAAGGCTTGAGCAGAGAAGAGCTGGTGACGAGGTTGCAAGGTCAAAGAGGAGGTATTTGAGCCCCATTTGTCTCTGCCCCTCATTACAAAGGAAACCCGACTGGTTTGATTGAATAGTATGTTCGACTTAATCATATCAGCTTCACACTTACCGAGTTAGATCCTGGAAAATCATAACCACCCATCACCTGAACAAAAATAAGAAAATATAAATACTAATACCGGCAGAAAAGCCATGTCTTTGAGAGGGACTTCTCTTTTTAAAATGATGACCAACTCACTTTCATGTAGGCTTTTTCAATAAGACTAATCCACATTTCATTTCTGTTTGTCGAATGAGAGCACAGTAGATTACCATCTTTTCCCATTGGAAGTGTGTCATCAATTATCACCTTAAGCATTAAAAAAAACAATATACAGCTTTGTTAAGTGTACTATTTTGGCCTTACTYTAGGGTACTATAGTTTGACATTCATAACCAACCTTTCTTGGAGCTCCATTTAACCATAGCTTGATCATGTACTTTCCTGAAGGGTTGATAATTGGCTTTCCATCTCGATTCTGAGGGTATATTATGCTATCAAGAGAGAAGGTACATGAGAGGGTAACTACCTACACTGTAAGCCCACAATGATTASGAGACATTGGGGTTCCTGTAGTGCACTCCACAGGGACCCCATTCATATGAATTTTGCTAACCTTGTRATGATTCTCTTCTTAAAGTCACGTTCATAAGCTGCACTTATTGCCAAGGATGATACAAATGAACAATCTGATACTATAGTCTACAAGAGMAATTCAAAGGTCTATTATTAAAAAGCTTAGTTTTTAACAGATCTTGAGTAAACATTATATCTTAAAGTCTATTGGTGGCAAGCAAGAATTCAATTACTTCTCAAGTTCATGATACCTAATAAGGATACAACAAGGAAAATCACTACTATGAAGGGAATTGAAAATATGTCAAAAAACTTGTTATAGAATACTACATTAGGTGTTTTGCAGTACAGTTCTGGTTCAATTCATTGAAATTAAATTTTCCTGAGTGAAATTCATTAATTGTACCTGTTTTACATTGAAGCTTGAAATAGCGTAGATCATCTCAGGATTATCATATATATCAGTGGGTCTAATATTAATATTTATAAATTTATTAATTAGTTTTTTCTTTGACTGATGATATAACAATATCATGTTGTAAATAGTTAAGTGATTAGGCTGCCAATATACCTGGCCCAGTCTCCAAATTGACTTTTTTGCTTTGGGGAAAGAGGCAAGGCACCATCTTTGTCCCTGTTTTGAACAAAACAGTACATAAAGCATTGTTCAGATGAGAACCACAATTTTCTCAAATTATGTGAAAAATTGCCATTATAAACATGAACAAATCTTCTCAGTTTCCTTTGCTACACAACTGGTCCACACAGAACTTACTGCTGTCAATCAAATGAATTGYTTTTGAACCAACACTCCCATTGGTTTGAAAAACTTGATTAACAGCAGTGCATAACTAAATGATTTTTTCCTGTGCTTGTTGCATAGCAATAGTAAATGATGGTAAAGTGTCAGTTTATAAAAAGGATCATTTCAATTGTCATTGTCAGCACTTTTGTACGTTTGGTATACTTACGTAAAGCAARCAGGATATGCAAAGCGTTCCTTCAAATCCAAGTCACTCCAAGGGAGGTAGAGTTTTCCATTTATCTTAGATGTTATCCTTAAAAAATRAAAGATAAAATATAAATTTAAACTGGCTTTTTTTTGTAGAATATTGCATGGCAGTGTAAATTTGTATAAAACCTTTGAAGGACACCATCCTAACATGTCAACATTTTCAGTAACTAAACAAATKCCATTCAAACGAATGCCAAATCCTAACAATATCTCTACTAACTCACTTCAAAACAGCTAATTCCTGTGAAGTGTATTTCTTTCCTTTGGAAGCAGGCTCGGATTGAGGTTTTGGAGAATCYTCTAAATTAATACTTGCAAAGTCTTTTGTGACTGGCAATGGCTTATTAGTGCTTGGTGGCTTACTACCTTCTTGAATCCTTTTGAGTGCCTCTGCTCTGTTAAAGAAAACAACTTAAATGTACAAAATTTGTGAATAAAATTGTGTAAACCTAACATGTGTGCATCAATGAAAAATTATTATTATATTCTATACACTGTACTGCATGATATACATACCTTTCTAAAGCTTGCCTTGCTAAATAATTAAACTTAGCTTTTAGAGGATGTTGTTCAGGTAATGGCTTGCTCTAGGATAAAGTTAAAGAACATTTCCTCCTTACTTAGTCTTATACAGTGACAGGAAAATAAACAATACAATGCACATTTGTATTAAAATCATCAGTTCTTGTTATGTGACATTTGAACATGATACCATTTAAATTGGCATGTTAAAATGCACTGATAGTCATGGATAAACCTATAAATAATGGTATTCTTACAGCATCCAGGCACAGCTCTGTTGCATCTCCATACAAGTCTAATGCTTCAGTTTTATTACCCTTTTCATCTTCAAGCAAAGCCTGGTTTAGTAGGAACTTTGCYTTGTCAATAGCATTCTGAAACACARAAGTAGTAGGTAACAGAGAGTTTATTTGTACCTTCCATGATTTGAATAGTTATAATAATATAAAAGAACATTGAAACAATAAATAGGAATTTATACATTGTATAAAAATCAYTGGAGAAACTATTGCAGGTCACAAGCATATGAAAATTGTATATTTAAAGAATGATTGATTGAATGACAACAACAACAACAACAAGAACAACAACAACAGCAACAACAACAATCTTTGTTTCATACCTGGTGTTATTTTTACAGAGATAAATAAAATAACAGAATTTATGAATGAATACACAAGAAAAAAATAAGATTGTCTTTCAAAGGCAGAGTCATTAAGTCAGTTCATAGACATTAAAAATAATTTAGTTTTTTTTAATCCTGAAAAATTAAAGAAGAATTATATGTTAATATAAAACTATCATCCATTTGTAAGAACAAAGACAATCAAGTTATATCATCATGCTATTTATTTTTGTACACTTTAACAAATAAAAACAATAAAGTTTAGTGTGTTTCCATATGTACGTAAAATGTCTTACGTCTTATATAGTAAGATTTGATATCTACCTGTTCTGAGGTTTTAAGGGGACCAAAAACCTGCTGCTGACCTGAAAAAAAAGAAAGTGTGCAACACGCTTACCTGACAACGAAAAACAAAACATTCTATAATCAAGATTAAATTAAGCTTATCTTGCTAAACAGGAAATGACAACTAGCATTGTCATGATCTGCAAAAGCGTATCAAATACACTATAAAACAAGCCGAGAGTAATAAAAGAGTAAAAAGTAGCCTTTAAATTCATTTATATTACTGTTATCGCTTATAAATAGAAAATTTTGATGTAGTTTAATGAAGTTCTGTACCTGCTTGCTGTCTTCGTAAAACTTCAGCCCTCTCGACATATTCGAGAGCTTTTTCTCTTACTTCTAAAGYATTGTCATAGGACGATGCCTTGTGCAAAGAATTTGCAGCCTCGATATAAAAGAAAGTTGCTGATTGGAATTCTCCCTTTTGATCACAAGCTACTGCTTGTGTGGCAAAACGGAACCCATCATCTAGAAGTCGGCTCGCTACGTCCGCCATTTTGGAAATACTTTGTTTGGGTTCTAGAACGCATGCGTAAAACGAAAAAAAACAGGAGGCCCAATCCAAATGAAAAATTTCACAGTTCCATCCCGGACCATTTTCGAAAAATACTCCAATCATTTAATAGTACAAAGTCACGCTACCCTCATCTTTTATTTCGTAATAAGCAGCAAATAAATTTACTTTCATTGCTAACTTTTGAAATCAGTACCAAGCGCGTGACCACAGCGCGACAAGGAAAAAACGTCATTAGTGACATCATTGAAATGATTATGACGACATAATGAAATCACAAGACACGTTGAACGATTACAGTGCTTCATTGCAATAAGCTTCATCAAGTACTTAARGCAGATRAGCTCGACTTCATCACGATCGCAGATCTCAAGTTGAAAGTAACYTAAGGTAAGAAAAACGAAATATTGCGACTTTTAGRCAGCAAATCCCGCCTGCCTCGCTTCAGCTTTGATCATGATTTCTCTTGAATCGTTGTTTTC